AGTTGGGAAGATTCCCTGCCCTGGCTAGTCTGTCTTTCCCCATGTGTGGCAATTTGTAGTTGTTGCCTCCTTCATTTTCCATTACTTTAGTCAAAACCTGTTGGTAAGACAACCAAGCCCTGTTTAGGGTTTGTGGACTTAGAGCATCATATGCTCCTTCCACTGCCTCTAATAACTCTACCACAGTACTTGGAGCACACTGATCTTTTAAAGACTGGATGGCTCTGAAAAATCCAAGATCCAAGACATTCAAGTCTGGGGAGTTAGGGGGTTGGTTGTGTAGAGTTATGTGAAACCCATTTGTGTTACCTGCTGCCATAAAGTCTGAATCCACTCCTTGAATGTGTGGCCTTGCATTATCTTGCTGAATGTGTATGTCTTTAGATAAATGTGAGGGCCATTTTTCTTGGATTGCTGGTATCACTTTATTGATGAGCATATCTTTTGTGACTTGTTTGGTAACACTAGTTATTGGTTTCACCTCTAACACCCCTTTGGGTCTGTTCTTGCTCTTCCTTTTGGCTTTGCATTTTTCTGTGAAATGAAATATGCCAACTTTGCCATCCCATAACACTTCTCCATTATCCCCAAATAGTGCTCTCCCAACCACACACAGAAACATCACATTAGCTATGAACCTTTTTGATTTACATGCCCTGTATGGGTCTGCTTCATCAGGAAGGAGATAAAATTTCTGAGATGTTTTAGACATAAAGAACCACTTCTCATCAATGTGCAAAACATTGTGAAAACTCTTAAACCTAGGGTGGATTGACATGCTGTAGGGTTCTACCTGATCTAAACAGAACCTGAGCCTTGAAATTTTATTGGCATCTGTGAGGTATGGTTTTATAGCTTTAGAATGGCTCCTAAGCAGACCTCTTTTAATCCACTCATGAACAGTTGATTTAGGCTTACCAATGGCAGCTGCTAATGATCTTACATTAGTCCTCTTCCGGAGGGGAGTGTCTGCTATAGCCTTTATATCCATCACTGCCCTTTTTCTGCCACTGTTTCCTGCCAGTTTGCTTCTCACATCAATGGCAATGCCCTGCTCTATTTGTTTCTTTGCAATGGCCCATATGTTGCTCACTGTTTTTCTGGACACATTATATTCTGCAGCAAGCGTGTTGATCTGCCCGTACTGAGCTGAGTATGAACCGTCTGCATTTTTCTTTGAATGTGAAAGTAGTGCTTCACTAATAATCTGCCGTGTTGTGTTGTCCAGCTTTTTGGTGTTTATGTGAGTGGTATTCATCAGTCTATATGTGTGCAGGCCTCCAGGAATTAGGGATGAAAAAAGAAAAAGGAATAAGGCTCATTGTGAAAGCATA